TATTTCCTCTTCTCCTTAATCTTACTTTTCTCATTTTCTTTTTAGTAATTTCTTCTTTCCTTTTTTCTCCTTTTCGACCTACCCGAACGGTTTGATGTACTGATCGGGTTTTACTGCTCACCCTATGCTTATTTATAAACACAAAAATATGCCAAAAATGAAAAAAAACTGCTTCACAGCAACTGACTTAAATCGAACGGAAAATGCCAAAGACCCCATGGCGATGCTATCGATTTTGCTCTAACAGCTCCTAGGCTTTCAGTTGTTCCCCTTCCCGCTGTGTTGCTGCTAAAGCCGGTCCTCTAGCTGTTTTGGCTTAATGTTCCCGTTCCTGCTCTGAAGTACTATTGCTGTAGTTGTTGGATAATTGCTCACCCGCTGACGGAATAGCTTTTCAGAGACAACAGGTCAACAGCAATATCGTTCAAAAACAGTAAAATGGTTACAAACGCTGTCGTTCTTTACATTTTGATTTGATTTCAGCAAAAAATAATTGAATGCATAACTATTATAATATTAGCAAAAAATGGCTAGTGATGAATAAGCCAAGCTTTTTTTTTCACCTTTATTTATCTAGCAAGCAGTGTAAAAACTTTTTTCTTTCCTTTGACTATCACGTCTTAATTATAAAATATAAAAAAGAAGCGATATTGGGCAAAACAAAAACAAAACAAAACGAAACAAAGCTGAATGTAATGCATTTAAATAGTTGTTTGTTAGTCAAAAAACAGCAAATGTAAGAAAGCATACTTTACTTTGGCAGCAATAGAGCTTTTTTTGTTTCATCATTGTAATTAAATGAAGACAAAAATGTAGGTTGAAAAAAAAAAAAGAGTAAATAAAATAAAAAAAAGGAAGACAATTCCCCTTTTTTTCCTTTTATTTACTCTTTTTTTCTCGAAACTTCGGAAAGTGACATTTCTCAAATTTTTTTCTTTCTTTTCAAACAGTAAACGATGAATCGGTAATGGTAATTGCTTTAACAGCAGTTACAATAATAGAATCAGTTTGATAGTTGCATTAAAAAAATACCTAGATCACTTCTTATCTAAAATTCATTTAATTTACCCAACAATCTGGCTGGGACATATATTAAGGTAACTGCAGCAACGATTAACCCCAGTAGCTGTAGCAACGACACGAAACCAACTACTAAACCAACGGCTGTAAACATGAATCACCTTTATTTTTTCAGTTACTTAATGGTGAATAGCCATCTCTTGTATAAAATAAAAAAGAAGCTTATGTATTATTTATTTATTTTGGTCCAAGATAACCATCTTTCCACCATCGTTCTAAATGCTTAAACATCATCAGCAGCAAAACAAACGCAATAAATTTTAATCACACAAACTGTTCGTTCAATCGGCACAAAAACAAAAGCGATATATAAACTTACCTTTACTGTACTTTTCCATTTATAATACCAAAAACAAGCTGTATCGACCATAACCAAACAAATATAACACAGAGAAAAAAGGAAGGAAATAATGACAGTAATATACTAACCAGAACCGCTAAAAAAAAAGATAGCAAAACGAAAAACTCCACAACAAACTACTGAACGATGACAGAATTCTAAAACAAGCTTGGCGCCTTCTGCCACTTCCAACCCCCTCTCCCCCCTCAAAAAAATAAACCAACGGAAGTCACCAATCAATCACACAATCTTATTGAAAATTTTAACTTTTTTTGGTGGACTTCATAAATAAATGAAGGAAAAAAAAAAAGCAAAAAACTGATAAGAGTCTCTTCTTTTGCAGCGAAAATCTAATTTACCCACTAAAAACGATGCATCTAATAAACACTATAAAAGCAAGGGCTGCTATAATTCTGACCGACACTACTTTATCATCCAGTCACCGAATGTAACAACGCCAGTTATAGCACAGAGTCCGAATTTATTTCTTTCCTGACGTTAAACTGAAGACTAACCAGTTGTCTGATATGATGACCAAACCTAAAATCACACGCTGCCCAACAATTCATCTGAATCGTTCACAACAATAACTGTATAACAATCCCATTGATACGCTCAGACCTACTAAATTTAGTCCTGATAGAGAAGCTAGCCCTTATAACAAGACTCAAAAAAACCTAACGAACACTTTAAGGCTGATGATTTCTCAACTAGTTTTCTATAAATGTATCCTTCAAATTATTTCTTCCCTCAAATTTGTAGACAAATAAATAGTAGCTAAATGAACAAAAAAAATATATTTACTACTTTTTATCACTAAACTGTAACTACATTTCCCATCTTTAAAACAAACTAAACAGTCGGTATCGCAAAAAAGTTTTTTAGTTTGAAAACCTGAAAAATCTGATGAATGCTTCTCCTTTTACTGCTATACCGCAGTGAAAAAGTTTATATGAATTAAAACCACATTAATTTATTGACCCTCAAATGATTTTACAAAAACAATAGTGATCTGCACTTCCAATCTCTCATTGAGCAAAAATGAGCCCTAACGTTACAAAGATATAGGTTTCTTCGCGGCATCAGTGTTAATGCAGTAATTTAAAACTGTAATGCTTATATCTGAAAAAAAAAAGATACCAATAAAATTAAGCAATTAACCAACATCATTCTAATTGAAAAAAACATGCAAGCACTGGAATACTGAAAAAAATCATTCCTTTAGACGATGCTAATTTGTGCAACGATTTATTAAGGTAGGAACATTCTACATATCCTTGTCGCCGATTTCTTCCCTTCCAAAGAAAAAGATAAAAAGTAATAAAAAGTAGTAGAATTTTTTTTGGAAATTTCAACGCTAATTTCAGACCACAGCTAAAAAGATATCGTTTATAACTTAATTCATAATTCTAGAGGAATGAAAGTGTCCCATATGTATCATAGTAAAATACGACAATTCCACCAACTGCAAAAACAATTCTAGTTCTTCAATGTCCACATAAAAATCTCCCACATACAGACGGGCTGAATTGCCTCGTCATATATTCTAAAAATTTCTGTAAAAAATGCAAACCCACATGAGCTAGCAGAATGAAAAATTCAAATGAAGTCATTGTATCTTCACTAAAAAGCGATCATCACAAAATCCAATACCATTTTTATAGTGACTTAGAGGTAGCCTTGAAACACATGAAAACGTTAAAAGAGAAATGCCGAAAAAGATATATAACACTTACATGCGAGTAGTATAACAACGCTTTAAATGATGTCAATTGCCTTATTATCTTAGACAACATCAGACGTCACAATTTGAAAAGTACTGCAAAACTGTAAACTTCCAAGGATGCGAACCAAAAAGCCGCGTTCGTTTTTTTGCCCGTAAAAAGTGAAAACAAAAGCCGTTACAAAAGAAGCATATACAAATGAGAATTGTAATTCCCCACAACCTGACATTCACACTCTCGCTCCCAGACTATTTATCGTTTCAACAATCTATATGGCATTTTTGTTAATAGCAAAACCAGAAACCAGTTTGAACGAGGGAAACTTCAGATATGAGTGTATAGCTTATTTTAACGAAATAATGCTTAAAAAGCTTTAACAACACCTTACCATAGATATCCATCCCCAAAACCTTATCTAAAAATTACAATTTTTGTTATCAACAAAAAGTAACTGAAGACGACAGCAGACTTTTGGAGACAAGCATCAAAATTATAGTGGATAAACAAATATATTAATGTTTAAGCTACAAAATATAGAAATATGTGAAATTGGGCGTAAAAAACACGTCGCCATATATAATTGTAAAACGCAAAAACCCGCCCAATCCCAAAAAACTGACAAGTTAAGTAAACAGCTTGGCAATGGAAACTTTGGAATTGGGAGATATGGCAGATAAGAACCAGCCACAATACCCGTAAATGAAAGACGAGTAAACATCCCACAATGTATTATGGAGAAAAATTTACAAGTGAGGTGATTTGTAAGTGACAAGAAATGAAAAAATATAACACTTTAGATTAACTTAAAGCAAAAGCAGAAGTATAAAGTCCACTTTTACAATTTATTTTAAAAAATGAAGAGCAACATTTGTATGCCAAAACTACATCTTTCTATACGCGTTCAGGATTCGTAGCACTTCCGGTCCGTGAATTTCATCAGCACGAAATTGAGAGCGCATTATATCAACATATTCACTAAGTTTATTTTCGACAGCTTTTGAAGCTGCTTTTTCAGGTAATCTAGAAACTTTCGTATTCAAAGAATGCTTTTAGGATAAGACATAAGTCTACAACAAAAACACAGAACGAATATCAAGCAGACAAAAAAAGAAGTCGATTTGTGCTCAAAAACGAGTTTTAGTTCTGCTGAAAGTCTGGCAAGCATACCCGAGCGAAATAAAGGCTTCAACAACTTCTTCTGGCGAACTTAGCCGGTTAACTAGCTGTTCTCCAAGGCTATTATTTCCGTACCGAACACAAGCTTCCACAAAAGGCTGAATTTCAAGAGTAGTATGACAAATTGTATGTCTTATTCCCAATCCTTCTAAATCAAACATAGGCACCAACGCAGGCTGTTTCAGCCCACTTGTCAAATTCCTGAACTTGAGTAACGTAAATAGTCTACCTAAAATAAGTGTGGTAAAGTTACTCACCATGATCCCCACAGGCATTTTCTTCACTTTAGACAAGTTTTCCAAGTGATGCCATTTACCATACTTAGCGTAACCCTCTATCTTCCACATCATGCATCTAAAAACTTCCATCTGTATTTAGCATGATTTTTTTAAAACTAGAAGAGTTAACATAAACTATAAAGCACTCTAGGAATGTAAGTAGATTAGCATTGCAAAACTGCAGTCAAAAACCCGAATCAATGCCAACAGAATATTAAAAAAACTAACACTCTGTCACTCAGCTTGAACTTTCTTTTTAACATTTCGATTAACGCTGAGTCCTCCTCCCTACGTCCAAACGCCCAAACGACGACCGATCTAAGACTCGTTCGGTCAATATCACTGAATGCATTCTTGTCTTCAAGAGAATCACAAATTTCTAGCAATTTTGATGAGTCGTCTAGTACCTGTTCAATGCCTGTTTCCTGCAAATTTTAGCATGAAAAGTCTTAAACATCTAAGCACTTCCTCAGGAAACGGCTCACCAGAAGCCAATTTATCAATCCTGACTATAGGGGGGTGAACGAGTAAAACCTTTAGACTAGCCATGCACCGTTTAGCGTCGCAAAGTTCGTCTACTTTTTGCTTCTTTTCAAATGGGTTCCAAGGAACAAATTCTGCTTCTTCCAAGTGGCATATCGCTTGCCTCGCAAAGTCGTCGTCCTCCTTATACAAGGCTAACACGTGTTGTGGAGAAGTATCCTGCAAAAAGCTTTCCAATAAACAAAGCGCACTACAGAAGTCAATTCCAGAATAACAATAATTCCGTAATCAAGAGGAAAACCTCACAAAGTAGACGTCAACTAAGTGTGTGAAAAAACATTGATAGAGCAAAACATTTACAAACCCGAAGGAAGTCCTGATAAAGTGAGAGTGCTTGCGGATGTTTATGTAGCAACCGATCAACCTCATCTTTACGTAGATTCGTCCTCAGGTAATTTACAACAACATGTACTAAAATAAACATTCAAATTTCACGGCACAAATTTATCTGAAGCCTGGGCTAAACAAGATAAAATGCCAGAGCAGCAGTCAGTTGATTTACGAAAGCAGATCAAAAAACAGATTGTTAATAAAGCTCACATAAGTCTGGTTGTTGACTCTTCGCAGCTCTCTTCAAAGCCATTTCAATTTTGTTGAGGCTAAGCAACATCTTAACACGTCTATCCAAATGAGTTTCTTTTTCCAACAACAGTACAGCTAAATCATTCAAACCCGCATTAACAGCTTCCCTAGCGACATCTAAAACAGCAAAAGTATAAATGTCACCAAAAGCTGATTTAAAATCAATGCAAAACAAGATATTTATAGCAGTGAGAAGATTAAATCGACTACCAAACCTGCAAAGCTGACGTCTGGAAAGGAAGAAAACTTGCTGACGATAAGCTCTGCGAGAGCATTATAGTCTGAAACACTTCCAGTATCTTTTCTTTTTTTAGCATCTTCAATCTGAAAACTATGTTCTAAGCCTCATTTAAGTTTTCTGAAGACTAATTTTTCTTCAAGGAAATTTGGAAAATTTCTTCAAGGGAATTTAGAAAGAGACAATCATTAGAAATTTGCAAATACTCTAGAGTTGCGTAGAAGAGATAAACTAGAAATTACACCGTTATGAGCCTCAGAAAACAGCTTTCGGCATTACCTTGCTAACAGCCCAGTGTGCCAAAACACGATGTACGCCAACGTTAGGTTCCACGTGCATGTAATCGCAAAATTTTATTGCTAAAGGCCAGTGATTAAGGTCTATTAAACGATCTATTAAGGAATCCATCTTCAATTCTGTAGACCTAAAAACTAGCTTCAAAGAGTGACACAATCTGTTGCAAACTACGCGAGAAATGAGAAAAATACAAATTCTTACTGAGAAAACGACATTGCGATACCGACATATGGTTGTCTTATACAATTTAGTATCCTCATAACTCTGCATGTATCAACAAATTGCGACGAATCATACTGAGGAGTGAGTGATTTCCCAAGATTTGCTGCCTATAAAGCATAAAACTTAATTTATGAGCAATAGTGTTTGAAACTAAATATTAGAAATATCGTAAAGACAAGTTTAACCAATAGGAGTTTTTGTTGCAAAGCACAATCAAATTGATGAGCAGCAGCGAACAAACACTGATGAACAGCTTTTTCAGTGTCAGGGCCTAAAAACAACATTTAGTTCTAACGAGCAAAAATTATGAAAATAAATTTAAAAAAAAAGAATCGTTTCAAAACTGAAAAACACCTCGCCTAACAACGTCTGCCTAACCAGTCCTTAATTCCAATTAGTTTATTCTGTAATTCATACCAAACAATGCAAATGTCGTAAAAAATGTAGAAAATTCTGATGCAAAAAAAAGAAAAGAATAACAGATCTTCAGCGTTTAACAATTTACCTATCATATTAATGTAGTCGTACACTCCAGTTCCTCGACTTTGAAACTTTTCTGATGCTGCGAACAAAAGCGCACCGCATTGCTGAGATAAAAGGCCAAGTACATTCTCAACTTCTTCTGAAAATTAACATACATTAATCATACAGAAATAACTAAATGAAAAGAATATCAAAAACGCACGCAGCACAAGCTAAACAAAACAAATAATTTTTTAGATAGAGTTACAAACAAAAAACTGCAGTTGCTTATAATCAGTTTATGAAAGTCAGTGAGTGTTACCTGGAACAATAGTAATAAGCGACAATTCATGTTCTGTAAAAACTTTGACTCCGTCTAGTTCCATATCCAGTCGTATATCGCCACCAAAAAAGAATCTCAAAAAAAAGAAAAAAAAAATTAAAAAACGTATATTAAGAAAACAACTTAATGTAACCAAGTTCGTACAACTAACTTCATCACAAATGGCTACGAGCAGGTTATTAAACAGAAATTTCTGATCAAAAGTAAAGAAAAGCCTCTAACCCAAATAGATGAGAAATTTTGAATGTGTGAATACTGCTGCCTCAGCATACAGAATTAGAATGTACAAAGTCTCATTCAGTTATTCAGCACATTCTGCGCAAGTGTACAAAAATGTAGCCTTTGATAATGGAAGAGCAAGCTTAGATATAAAGTAAAGTTACTCGTATCGATTCGACTCCAGCGATGATACAAGAAGAGAATTTTTGGAATATTTAAATAGAATCGCCTGACTGCCGCACCTAAAGCTTCCGCTTCTGAATTGAAAAACAGAAAAAAATAAAGAAATCTGAATTTACTAAACCTTTATAGCTTACAAATGACAAAAAAGATAATACATACTATTCTGATATTGCCGTCGAAAACTAACCAATAAACTTTACTTGACGAGGAGGAAGCGCATATGCTGTCCACTAACAAGGAGTCCGGGAGCTTAATGGTGTAAAGAAGCGTAAAATCAGAGTTAGCGATTTGGACATCCAAAGAACTGTGACAGAAAGCGATTAAAGAGGAATCCCAACTACTGCAAGCATCAAGGTAGCTCCCCTCCGTCAATTTCCACGAGACGTTCTTTAAAACAAAAAGGTAAGTGTCAGCTGGAAATACTGCTCAAAGAATAAAAACTTGGCTAACAAGTAATTTCCAAATGAACTAACCAATGACTGAGGAGGGAAACCCTGAACACCTATATAAAAATTGTTGTTCACAATGCATATAACTGTAACTTGGCCGAACGTGGCCGGCGAAAGTACATTCCATACTGACGGTCGCTGTCGATCTAAACAGTTAAAACCGTATGAAGAAAAAAGCCAACAAAATTCAACTACATTAGCTTACTTTCTGCTTGTGGAAGACGCCAAACAGCAAAATCCATTACTGAATTAGCAAGGTAAATATAATTCGTCTCTGCAAGTATGGCCACCCCAGTTTTACTGTGAGAGCTGGTGAAAGATCTTGATTGAATGACAGGAGTTTCCTAAAACACTAAAGAGTAGAATACATAAACTAATGCAGCAATGTAATTGAAGTATTCACCGGTTCACGTCGTGATATAAATAAAAATGCTGCAGCGTAGTGAAAAGTCGAAGAGAGTAATATATGAAATTTTAAAATAATGCTTCTTAAGAGTTTAATAATTTATAAATTGATAGTGATTTAAAAAAAAAAAATGGCCAGTTTATAGGTTTTATGAACAAACCTGGGCAAAATGGTGCGCTGCTACACGTTTGCCTAGCGGGGTGTAAACGTGAACATGACCCCTTTTACTTAAGACAACCAGCTAAATTAACAGAGAATAATTACTATGAGTTAGAATAAATAAAGCTTAAAAAAAAAAAGAAACAAAAAAGGCATCAAAAGAAGAATTTTTTTCTAGATCAGTGGTAGCCAGTCGTTTCTCTCTTGAGTTAATTTTTAAACTAACCCGATGACACCGAGTCCAATAAAGCGCATGTAGAGCATATATCTCCGTCTTTATTGATGCCAGTGTCACTCCTGCACATGTTTTCACTGTAATGGTCCAATGCGAGATGCTACCGGGTATACAATTGGCAATTGCTAAAAAGTCCTTTGAACATATAATTTTTGGTACAGAACCATACATTTCGAACAATTCCGAAAGACAAGAAATTTAAAAAAAGAAAATAGAAAGAAAAAAATAGAAAGAACGCTACGAATAATTTTAAAAAAAAAAAGTTTAAAACTTCGGTCACATATGCTCACCGATAGGTCCCCCATAAGGCGACGCAGCAAATAACGACGTGTCTTTCCAACCAACGTCTATTTTCTCGTACAGCGTATTTAGTCTAAAAAGTTCCAGTCCTGAAGATAACATTATCAACCATCCCCTTTTTTCAAAATATCTCTGCGCAAAATCCTTCCAAAAAACTGGAATTATTTTGGAACTCACCGCACTTTGACAGGAGCAACAGTGATCGAATCCATACTAAAGCAACTACCTTCTCCAGTACCAATGCTGCGGCATTCGAAATGTGCAAACTGCAATCGCTAGCAACAGCTTCACTAGTAAAAAGTGCTGAAAATACTGAAACTGCTAGATCTATATAAATTGGGTAAAGCAAAACGTTCTGCAGAACGGTGGTGAACAAATCACTGTTCATACAAAAATTAATAAAAGCAGATCGAATTTCATAAACTCAAATTTTACTCACGCAACAGTTTAATGTTTATATCACAAAATATAATGACCGAAATTACTCCACGCAGACAATAAAAAACAACACTAGCCGTAAATAGCAAGAATCAACAACTGCTGAGCAACAGTTATATTATTAAAATCATACATATCTCAAAAAAATTGATATCCTCATGTGGCATCCATGTCGTACCTTAAATTTATGACAGATGGAGCTTTTTCCGGCACTTTCTGTAAATTCAGCCAAAACGCATCTCACTCCAACGTCATAAATATCATATGCTTGTGCATTTCTTGAATCTTCTAACCGGCATCATCGCATCTGGAAAGAAACAGGCGGGCTGGATGTATAAAAAAGTTTTTACAAATAACTTAGGTCTTGAAAAAAACTGAACGTTCAAAAACCATCTTATAACCTCACAAAAAGTGCTCTTCTTTATCCTCAAAAGCTAAAAATAAGCGCAAAAACATGAGAAAACAACTTCAACAAGACCAATCTCAACATTATCATAGACAGTAAAGTGCAAAGTAGAGAGGTATTGGAAAATAGCCAACCTGAGCACTTTCCGCTACAGCGGTTCGCAGTAATAAAGTTGCCTTTAAATTACATGTTCACAGCCCCTTATGGCACACTAGGATGATCTTTCTTTAGGTCGGTGCAGGGACGGAGTGGAGAGGCAATAGAAGTTGTTACTTTGACGGTGTAAAGCAAAATATTAGAGAACTAACTTGTCGAAGCGTCTGTGTGGAGTATTTTTTAAAGCCAGAATTTTAGGGTGCTGTTCGCATGGCTAAAACATGCGTTTTTGCCTAGTTATATGGAAACAAATTTACCATGGAAAATATGAGTAGTTTAGTACGAAGGGCAGAAGGAAGCCAATTAGTAGAGAAGGCTTCGGAGTTTAGTTCACTCTGTAACTGATACAAATAGACTGCGTTTCTTTATTTTCTTTCCAAGTTTTATTTTCACCCTTCTCCTTCTGGTATCAAATAATTCTCAAATGCAAGTAGAAAGACAGATTGAATGTAGTAAGGGCGTGCGACGACCATATTCATTCCGAACCTCTAAACAGAGAGTTTATGAGGTTATTATGTTTTGAAACTGAGAGGCAACAATCACAAATGTATTTCGTTTTTACCGAGTTTTTTGTGGAAAAACAATTAGGGCTTTTGTTCCTTTATTTTAAATTGATTTTGTTCGAGAAAAAAAGAGTGGTTACATACTAGTTTAATGAAGTAATTTTTTAACTTTTGTTGTAGTCTGAACTTACCGATTTTGAATCAGTATCAAAGTTTGCTTGTATGGATTATGAATTGGTGAAGAGATGGATGTGAAATCTGGAAGCCGAATAACAAAGCTTACTCACGCTGAGATAGATTTTAATGAAAACGTAAGATACTTTATCTGGTTCTAGTTTGAGTCTCGTTTCTGAATGTCAATCTAATATTAGAAAGTTAGGTATTTTGTTCGGGTTTTCGCGTTAATTAATGCATAAGAACCATGTTGTGAGGGTATTTAGACCGAAAGATTTCTGTTTAATTTCATATATAATGCAACATTTAAAACAATTCAACGTCTTTCTTTTTTTTTTTTCAAATTATCTGTTTTATTTCTTAGTAACATGGAAATAAATGTGGAATAAATAAAAAAAGCCAGGTGATTTAATATTTTGGTTTAAAATAGGCTTATTTGATAGACATTATTTTTCACGTTTATATGTTTCTTATAGAAGGATTTGTTGATCTGAGCTCGTGATCGTGAGCTCAATTATTAACTGAAGGTTGAGAAAGTAAAAGTAGACATTTTAATAAAAATCTCTTAATAAACTCAGCAAATTAAGGTGTTGGTTCCAACTATACTTTTCGGTCATAATTATCTGCTGTACTTATTATATATCTATCTTAGTTGTTGAATGTTGACTACTGGACATTTGGGCGGTCTCCTGCAATATTTTTTTATGAAAATGAGTTATACTGCAAATAGCTGTAGTGAAGCCTCAAATAATTAACTTCATAAAAAGGGGATAAGTGTTTTTAAACGACAATTCGTCCTTGTTTTTTTTTTCTTTTTTCTGCCATTTCTTTAGTGTTTCATGCATTTGAATATAGCTTTAAAATTTTTTTGCCAGGAAAAGGGCAGTAAATTTTTTTTTTTTTGCATCGAGTGACAGTTCTGAGTAATGGAAATTTTATCATTCAAGAACCTCATATTTTTCTGTCGCATAAAGTGCGTTGACAAATGTACGATAGCAGATGAAAAAGCTTCTTGGTTATGGTGAAAAATCAACAATAAAGGTACGAAAGAAAAGTGAAGGTTAGGCGGATGTTCGGGAGAGAGGGTAGGGGACTAAAAATAGTTTCTATCTGCAACAGGTTGAACCAATTTATTCATTTTTGTTGTGCTTGTTTAAAGGCATTGAAACTACATTAGCAGTCGTTTTACTAAGTTAGAGTAAAAATAGTGCACTGCTTTGAAAGTTTTAGAAATAGGTAAATTGGCACTTATAACTACAATTTATTTTTTTTATTTAAAACGTGTGTGAATTCACTGGATAAAGGGAATGATATTTAGTATGACTTTTTTTTGAACAACTGTGGTCAGTGATAGTCATTAGCTTGAAGGCTCCTATGAAACTTATAGTCAAAAAATTTTTTTGAAAAACTTGATTTTTTACAAAAATGTCAATTACGGTGGTTTTACTTGTTATTTATTGTTTTTTATGTGTCGGTTACAATGAGGATGTAGACGACTAAAAAAGTGCGTCAACATTTCATTTCGAAAGGACCCAAAAACAAATTTTTGGTGCTTTTTATTACAAATAAGCGATAGCCTAGTAAAACATTGTTTCTTTAAAAATTATAACACACGAAGAAGAAGAAAAAAAATAATAAAATAAATGACGATATAAATTGAATTTTTTGTTTAGTGTAAATTTTTTTGGTCAAATAGCATAGTTTGTCACAGGAGAAACTTTCTACGTTTTGTCTAAACTATTAAATCTGCATTTTTGATAGGAAGACCCTTTTATTTGAGTGAGATGTTACTAGAAACGATTAAAGAATTACATCATTTTTTTTTTTTTTTGTATTGAAAACGTCGTCTGCAATTGCCGTAAAAATATATGGGAATTTTTTTGTAGCTGACACCACTGTGCAGAAAGGGTTCAGTTGTTGTAGATGAATTTGTACGATTGGCATCTTGGAGGAGTTGTTTTTCAAGGGAATTCAGGATGATTTAAATTAGTTGTAGGAGGGAGATTTGTCAATTAGGCATAGACCAATGGAATGATGTATTCATCGGAAAACTTTCTGTTTAGTGGTTCAAGCAATGGCGACCAGTTCTCTTTTCGATTTATTGTACTTATCTTTTCGTATCGTAAAACTTAATTATTATTTTTTTTTAATCTAATAAGTTATCATGGAAGAGTATTTTTTTAAGAGTTGTTTTGAAATTATTCGTACAGAATTTATTAAAATTTGTTTACAAAAATTTCTAAAAATTGTTCTTAATACTTTTTCTAGCAGTTATTTTTACAATATCTTTTGAAAATCTATATAAAGTAAGGTTCCTATAGTCGAAGCGTTGAGGCGATATGAATAAAATAAATTAAGTGGTATTTCACAAAGTGCTCTAATTTTTGCGTTTTATTTGTTAATCATAAAATTCTCTTTAAGCTCTGAAGGTATAAAAATTTGGTAATTGGGAGGTAAGTGCTAGAATGTTGGATATCGTTTTTTTTTTTTTTTTTTGAGTTTTGATAGGGTTTCTTAAACTTAAACTAAAGCTTATTTTCTCTTGTTTTTAATGCAGGCTGTATTTTTAATTGTGTGAGCCAATAAAAAAACATGATCTCAAAACTGAACGTGTACTACAGAAAAAAGTTTCGTTCAAAAACAATGTTAATTTTATGGCAAGCATTTTGACTGTTCAACTGTTGTTTCTGGTATGATGGGATCAGTCTATGAGTAATGGATTTGTAATTCTGTATGACCAGAATTTTTTTTTAGTGAATACAAAAACATTAGCTCTTTATTTAGTTCAAGTGGATAATTTTTGGTTTGTAGGCATTTTCTGTGACTGATTTAAGCCATGAAAGTTTAGCTGACATTAACAACTGATGTAGCTTGTGGACTGGTGTAAGCTAGAGTGGTACCTGACAAAATAGATCGCTTTAAAATAAAAGCTGAAAAAAGTGATGGGAATACGGCAGTTTTACAGCAGAAATGGTAGTGATATCTAAGAAGATGTTAAGCCAAAAAAGAATTTTTTTTATGGTTTTATATTTTTGTTTCTTTGGCATCGCAGACTGACGCGGAGAAGCACATTGGTTTTACCTCTTCTTTTCTACGTAAAAACTTGTCAGCTGTGAAAAAAGCTAACTAGACAGTATTTGAAAGGTATTTTTTGATATACGGGTGAGAAAGCAACAAGAGAGGAGGAAGGTTTTATTTCCAGTATTATGCGTGGAAAAAAGCATTATCTAGTCGAGCATCGTGAGTCATGCTAACAAATTCTGGAGAACAAGTTGATGTTGACAAACTTATTTGACACAAAGCTTCCAGCGACACGGCGGAGCACCGAAGCCTATAAAAATAACTTTTAATGGAAGGAGACAAAATTCCATATTGAAAATATTTTGTTAAAGGAAAAAAGCTAAGCACTTTCTTATCGCAAAATTGAAGAGGTGGGAAAGGATTATAACCGCCACTTATAATTCGTATAGATTTGTGAACATTATAACCGCTTTAGCAGTAGACCATGTATACGTTAACTAAAAGTCTAGGCAATGATATAGCTTGAAACTTACGAGGTCTGACATCAACTGCCGGTAAGGCTCGTTTAAAATAATCGAAAAAGACCTGTTCAGGCTCATCGCTCTTTTGTGGGTACTTTGCTTCATGAACTCCAAGAATTTCTTGAAACATTAACGGTTGTGCACCAGCGATACTTTCGTATGCCTAATATTTGCAGAAAACTAATTTGTTTTTAAAAAATGGATTTTTTAGTCACAACCAAATTAGTGTTATTTTATTTTGGACGTGATAAAGATTATTTGCATAAATTATAAATCTGATTCAACTTAAAAGTGATTTAAGCAAAGTGATTCAACTTACCAGGTAAATAATTGTTGGTTATATTAATTAGTTATAAAGAAATGAAATGTATAAGTACTGTTTTATAGTTTTGGTAAATTGAATTACTTGTTTTATCAAAAATATCTTAGTAATCTTCAATCGTAGACATGTAGTTTTTTAGAACGTATTCAAGTATTTTCTCGGTGCTGCTTTTTGCAGAAGCCATTTCATTTCCAATTCTAAATTTTCTGCGAAAAATTTGAGCTACAAGTGTCAGATAAAAAAACAAAAAAAAACCTATTTCATATGTTGTCTTATCCACTTTTATCTAAACATTAACAAACATTTTTGGGCAACATTAAAATACGGAGAACTTACGTTAATGATTCTGGCGTCAGCGGCAGATGTTTCAAAGTTCAGAATCACGATAGAGAATAGAATAAAACATCCAAGTTTAGTTGGCAAGTAGGCCATTTTAGCAGAATGTTGGTCAGCAAAACAAAACAAGTATTCCTGCTAGCGCATAACAAAATTTACCCGTGTTTGAATTTATCTTAAAATATAAGCTATTTTTTTACTTAGTAGAAGTATATTGTAATTAGCCTATAACGCGAAACGACGTAGAGTGAACAACTTTATGCTGGCTCCTCAATATTTCCGTTTATTTCAATCTTTAGAAAATGTGTGTTGCTAGCGTGTAAAGGCTAGTACTTTTATAAGACAATAGGTTCGATGGTAAACAGAATCTTTTAATGTGGTAAAAATTAATGCTTAAGATATGCTGTGTCGTCATATATTACACTGAAAATTGTTGCTTGTAAAACAAAAAAACTATAAATTTTGTTATTGAAAATTGAGAGAAAAGGAAGAAAAAACCTGATAATTACCCAAAATTTAAGTAGCACAAGATAGAAAATAAAGAACTTTAAAACTTCAAGTGTTTAAAGAACTGCCATCAAGGATACTGCTAGACAACAACGAAGCATCGACTGCGTTAACACCAAGGTGGATTTTGATGTTGCAGTAGAAAAAACCTCTTTATATTTGAAACAAGATGGCGATAGTTGGAAAATTTAAATGCACAGACTCAGTTTCAGGGGGTGAGTAAAATAGGCTAAATGCCTAACAATAAGCATTTTCAAAATTAATTTTCCCTCTCATGATTCTTTCTCTTCTTTCTTCTTTAAAGTGTTTCAGTTCTTCTCTAACGACGGGCCAAAAGACTTCTATCTACTCATTTTTTGTTAATTACGAAAATGTTCAGTTGCACAATATCAACTGGCAATGACAAAAAAAATTCTACCATAAAAATTAGCAAAAATTAGTCAATATTCTGAAACGTTTAATATAAAATATTTTTTTGTGTTGAAAAAGCAGCAATTGTCTAAAGTTTGCTATAGTTTCAATTAATATTTCCAAAAACGTTATGTTGCATTTTATCTCATATTGTTTTAGTAATGTGTTTTCAGTGAAAAGCCTACTATGTTCTAATACATAAAGTTTTTTAAACCATAAAAATAAATGTGAACGATGCTGAGGTCAAACACAGCAGATGTAGTAACTGATGCTCGTAGATGTCTTTTATAGCAAAAATAAACAGCTGAATATTGGATATTTTAAATTAAAAGCAATAAAGTTATCAAGTAGAGGTAAGATAGATATAAATCGCAAAAAGACTGCGTAGTTTCAGAGATCATTTCAGGCAGATGACCTGTTTTGGAAAATATGCTTAAAAACAACAGGGTTTCGTCTAAAATAACTGAATAAAACCTACAACTTTTTTTTTATAAGAAAGAAATTAAGGTGCTCTGTAAAAACGGGAGATTATAACAATGACTTTTTGTCGAAGTTCTGAACAGAAACTGCTTTTGAGCTGTCAGGACAAAGAATCCATTTTGGTGCTACGCAGTTACTGTTATCATTGCTATCACCGATATCACGTTCAATAATTTTAGAACAAAAAAAAAAAATAAAATTTATAAAATTTTTTGCAGAAATTAAATGTAGCAGATAAATATAAATTAAATAAACACAGAATAAAAAAAAAGAAATTTAAAAAAATTTTTGCAAAAAGAAATGTAGCAAATAGTAGACATTTAGAACTGAGTTAGTTATCAGAAACTGTAGCAATTTTTGAAATGTTTTAATATCTTTTTTCCTATTTTTTTACTTTTTTTTGTCAAGTTTATGTTTTATTATTATATCTCTAACAACTTTTGAAACTAAAACATCAATGTCTTTGCAGATGGTCAACAAGTTCTAAAATAAAAGGTCCAAAGGCTAGATTTACTGCATTTAAAGAAGCTTTAGAAACGATTTTAAAAGTCGTCTAGTTTATAGTAAGTAATCAAACAGTGCAAAAAAATACTGTTCCAAACTCGCTCTACAAATTCAATCTGCTCAGAACAGTCAGTTCTAAATTAACAAGCTAAAATTAGTGAGGCTCTAAAGGCGGTAGATAAAATGCGTCATTTCCTTGATTGAGATGAGTAGGTGTTCGTTTTTGGTTGTCTTTATCTAATACAAAACATTAACAAAAATTCATTTCAACTTGTTTTATTCGGTAAACAAGATTAATGAAAGGTTTTCAAAAGTGATACTGCAGTAGCAGCTGTTTAAAAGTTCTCCAAAAATAGATTTTTAAAGGAGATTTAGTCATTTACATTTGCTGTCTACATCTGCTGATTTCATAAATAATTTGCAAGAACTCTTTGCTTTTCAAGTTCACATTTGGCTAAAAACAACAATATAGAGTCATTGAGAGAAACCACAAATGATTTAATAACTTCTAACAACCTTTATATCACTGATCAAAAAAAATAAGTATGCAACGACTTTAAAATATTGAAAGATTTTTTAATTTATTGAATTAATTGTTAACTTTGCAGTAGTGTAAAAGTTCTTGGTCAATTTCTTTAAGTTTCCATTTTCGAAAGCTTTAGTTGACACAAATACCTGATTTTTATGCTTTTCTTTCTTTATTTTTGTTGTTTGATAACTTTCAACTCACGACCACCTTCGTGAGTTTTAAACACAAAGCTCTCTACTATAATATTCATTAATTGACTAGGTAAAGTTAACTAACTTTATCGCTACTGTTTCGCAAAAAGCCCTATATTTTTTTGGTCTGTCGTAAGGTTTTCGATTTTCATTTTTAAAATTAGGCACAGATGAGAGGGTTTGAATTGGTCCACGAAACGCAAAACAAAGAAAAATGTATCGCATATTCAAATACTCAAAGCTGTGTCCCATAAATGTTATATGACATCATAATTTACATGCTAAAAAGAAAAAAAGTCTAAAAAATTCGCATCATGCACAGAACTTTATACTACTTTGTAAGATTTTTTTAATGATCTCGGTAGTTTTTAAAGCTAAAAACCAAACTATAATAACAACTGTAGAAAGAGACAATAAAAACGGTAAGTTTCAGAAATTAATAAAAAGTGAAAATCAAGCAAGGTAATCAGAGCATCTTTTTCAACTTTCTTTTCGTTACACTCTATTTTCTCAACAAATATCTTTTTACCTTTTCCTGTTTCTGCCGGATATCCGGATCAAATTAAAGTCAGTTTTCTGTGCAGAATCAGTGCAGAGTGTGCAAAAAAAATTTCCATTATTTCTCATTCTCGCAAAATGGATAAAGAATTCAAATGACGTTTTGATTCGAAAAAACAGAAGTAACATAGACAGCAGCAAACAACAGTAGAGCCAAAGGTACGCCGAAAGAAAGAGAAAGAAAAGCAAAAAGGAAAGAATAAAGAGAAGAACGAAGCAATGCTGAATCGACTTAGATTTGATATTTGAAGCAGAGTGTCAATACCACGTATAAAACCAAATCTTTTTCCAATTTTACTTTTTTGCCTTACATTGTAATCTTTTTTCATATCTGCTTCAAAAACATCATCGAAGCATGTATACTTAAACTCACTTCCATTAAACACTTTTTTCAACATTTTAGAAACCCAGCATTTTCAGCAGTGCTCTTTTCCTGGTTGTTCTGAACGCCAAGTATTGCTCCTACTTGTCTAAGAAACAGTCTTAAAATAAGCTATAGATTGAAAACAAAAAGTTGTCTAATTTTACGGTTTTCTTTAAACCTTTTAAACTTAGCATTAATAATTGCCAGTCTGCAGCACAGAAAGGATTTTTCTTCTTGATTGTACTTGAAACTGTTATTTAATTATGACTTCTGAAAAGTTACATTTGTAGGTTATCTTTTTTTTCAATTACCTAACTGAATCCAACTTTTAGTATACTTTCTTATTAAGTTAATTTAAATTTTCAGCTTTTTTTTTTCTTTTTTTTTGAGCTTTTTGTATTTCATAACGTCACTCAGTTTGAATTTTAACGACAAGTAAGCTTTTTATATTTTTTACCACCAATGAGCACGCAGCAGGATGTATTATTATTGAATCAGAAGAAATCTTATAAGAAGCATTAATCAAAATGGGCGACAAAAACTAATATGATATTTTTCGCAAACTTTTTGTAGCTGCAAAACTTGAATATCTCATAAATTTTGAATGACTACAATTTCTTGAAATTTACTTAACTTTACAGTTACTTTAATAACTTAATTGAATATGATACAGTGCTATCATTTTCTACTCAAAACGAACCTTTGGAAATCAATTGTAGTAGAAGACTGGCAAAAGGCAGCAATTGCTAAAGCAGCAGCGAAATTTACGTTCAGCAAAATAATAAAAAATTCAAAAGCTAGAATCAAGTACATCTAGTCACTTTGAAAATTTTTCAGGGCAGAAAGAACTCTTTGTTTTCTTAATTGGCAAAGATAAAATTACCTTACTCGTCTAGAACAAACCTTCTTTGTTTGATAAAATTACCTTACTCGTCTAAAACAAACCTTCTTTGCTTCAAGGCAGTTTGAACACAAAGGTGAGAATTTAGTAAAAAGTACAATTTCAGCCTTTAAAAGATTATTCACACACAGCAGTTCAGAACCGAAGACAAGTTAACAAGAGAAAATTACACTTTCATTGTCAGTTTCGATTCATCTGGGACGAACAAAATATGAAACGAGTTTGCAAAAATTATTATATAAAATATTATTGTATAAAGAAATCTCAAATTGCCAAATGGTCACAGGTATAAAGTCGCTTAATGTCAGAAATTTAGAGACTGTAAAAGCATAAATTACCGAAGACCTGAAGATATCAGAGGTGAGCATAGGCAGAAAAACTTTTTTTGCTGCAAGAGAATTCTGATCTTACTATTAATTAAAAGTGATCAAATTTACAACTGCAAAAAAAAGCTAGTGTTTTACAGTTTATCGTTACAGTTGTCTTGCTGTGCTACTGTGGTACTAATATACAACTAGCGGTAGTTTAAATAGAAATTTTACTTTTTTTATATACAGCCGTTTCAATAAAGTAATGTATTGAAAAAAATTGGAAAACTGCACAATCGTTGAGAAACCCCTATTAAGAAAAAAACTGGCGAGTTTTGGCCAT